ACAATGGTACTATACTTACTAACTCCCCTTACGCAGGACTGCAATCTGAAGGAGGACGCCATACGTGATGCATTTATCAGCGGGTTATTATCAAACCTTATTCACCAGCGGTATCTTGAAAAATGAAACACTTGATGTGAGTACTGCTTACGACCAAGCCAAAGCTCTCGATCAAGCTCAACAGCAGTCTCAAATATTCGTGCAAGCCACTCCTTCAATCTACGCCGCCGCTGCGAGAGCCCTGAGAACTGAGACGACGCTGGCTACATCCCAAACAGGCTGTTTCTTTTGCGGCTATGATCGACATCTTCGTCACAAGTGTCCTGCGAAAGATGCAACTTGCAAGTCATGTGGCAAGCAGGGACACTTCCAGAAAGTTTGCCGGGCTCCTGCCAGTTCAAGGTATAGCGCAGCCGCAGCCCCTGCAAGTCTTACTAAGGCTGTTACAGATGTAACAGTCAACGGATTAGCACTATATACTAGGGTAGACACAGGAAACTCAAACAGTTATGTATCTGAATGGATCGTGCTCCGGAACAAATGGTTATGAACAATGGTCATTGGCATACAATAATAAGATTGTCCTGGCTTCCACACGTATGACAAGCTGTACCAGGGGTCATTATTTTGTCTCAATACTTTACAAAGGTACTCAGTATGAAAATGCCCGTTCTCTCAGATTTATGTGCTGACGTACAACTAGGACATGACTTTTTGCAACGGCACAAGTCAGCAGAAATACTCTTTGAAGGAATTCAGTCACCATTCTCTCGGTGGTCTCTTAACCGCTAGTCTTCCAGTTCCCTCCCTTTTCGCACATATGGATCCCTCTTGTCGTCCTAGTTGCACAGAATCGAGAACAACGATGAAAATTTTATTCGTTCAGAAGTAACCAGGCTGTTGAACGACGGAATAATCAAACTTTCTCAATCACTATGGCGATCCCAGGTCCTGGCCACAACCAACGCCGGAAACGACGGATGGTAGTCTATTACAGCCAGACAATTAATCGATTCACCCTTTGGAATGCTTATCCGCTAGCCCTAATTGATGAGTTGGAGGGGAAAATTGCCGAATACAGCATTTACAGCACCTTAGACTTGAAGAGATGCATACCACCAAATACCTTTAAAGGAAAATGAACGACATTATACAGCTTTCGAAGCATGCAATAAGGCTTTACCAATTTCGCCGCATATCGTTTGGAGAAACCAAGGGTGTCGCCTGATTTCAGCGCACGATAGATGAGCTTGTTCGACGTGAAGGGCTTAAAGGAACCGTTGTATATGTAGACAACCTTAATGTCTGTGGGAAAGAAATCACGGACCACGACATCAATCTGAAGCGGTTCCTGAAGACGGCTGACAAACATGGTTTAACTCTAAATCACAAAAAGTGTGTATTCGCCTCTGAAGTAGTTCGACTGCTGGGTTACGAAATATCCAAAGGATGCGTCAATTCGGACCTAAAACGCTTCGATACTCTTTTCAAACTACCCTCTCCCACGAATATGAAGACACAACAGAGAGTTGTAGGAACGTTATCATACTGTTCCCAATGGTTTTCCAATTTTTCTGGAAAGATTCGCCCGCTAATTACTAACAAAATATTCCCTCGCCAGAAGAATCACTCTCCCCTTATTAATCATTGAAATCCGAGCAAATTCAGGCATCACTAGTTGCAGTCGACAAGGATACACCACTAGTGGTCGAAACCGATGCCTCCGACATAGCACTCTCCGCTACACTCAATCAAAGTGATCGTCCCGTGGTTTTTCTCGCGTACCCTGTCACCCTCAGAGCGAAATCATTCTTCTCTAGAAAAAGAAGCCTGCGTAATAGTTGAAGTCATTCGATAGTTGCGGCACCACCTACTGGGCGCCCACTTCAAATTGATTACTGACCAACGCTTCCTCGCCTTCATGTACGATACGAAAGTCAGCAAAATCAAGAACGACAAAATACAACGCTGACGTCTCGAACTTTCTCAATTCTCCTATGATGTGATATACCATCCAGATTACGAGAATCCTGCAGCCGATGCTTTGTCACGAGCATTCTGCGCAAGTACTCACTCAATCAATGAACTGAAGCGACTTCACGACAGTCTGTGCCACCCCGGTATCACGCGTCTGGATTATTTTGTCTGCATAAAAGAAACTGACCCTTTTCCCTCGATTATGTCAAGATGATAACTCAACAATGTTCTGTTTGTGCAGGCTTTAAATCCAAGTTTCATAGACCATGCAACACTTCCTTTGGTAGGGCTATACAGCCTTTTGAACGCTTCAGCATTGATTTCAAAGGACCGATTCCCTCTTCCACTCGTAATCACTAAATTTTGACAATTATGGATGAGTATTCCCGTTTTATGTTTGCTTTCCCCTATCCCGACATGACTGCTCGCACTATAATTTCTCGTTTACCTGAGATATTTTCTATGTTTGGCCTACCGCACTATTTATACTCCGATCGGCCTCCAAAACCTCAGTATGGTCGGGGTTGGGTGTCTAGAGTTGGGGCTAGCTACTTTCCCCTTGCACCTCGTGAAATGCTCCCATACGACAAAACGTCTCAAATAGCCTGTGCTGAAGAAGCCCTTCTCAATGCCTTCTCTTGGGGCGGAGGTGTTTTCCAACCAAAGTGAGAGAACGAAAAGCCGACATTCGGGGCTATAACCGGGTTGGTGAGCCAATGGTAGTTCATCGGGGGAGTTTGCCCAAAACCCTGATTCCAAACCAACCAAAAGGAGGCGTATGAACCACACAGAACTTCCTGGTTGTGGCACTGGTCACCGGGTCGACTGGGCATCGAGGTGGGCACCTTGGACGTTTGGCCCCGTCCAAAGGGAGTATAATCCGATTATCTTGGCACTGGTCCCCAATAGATCGCACACCGCCCCGCTGCCTTACAGGGCTTTGGCTATCCGAAGGCTCTGGCTGTGGATTCCTTAAGAAAATTCACCTACCTTAGGCTGAGCAACCTGGCAGTATTCAGCCCGAATGCAAATCATGGAACTTTTTTCTTTTTCATAAAGATTATTGTACCATGATTTGTTTTGGCACAGTCTGGCGTGTGTGAAAATATTAAAATATATATACACTCCGATCAAGGAGCCACTTTTGTGTCAGAAATTGAAGACGTTCCTTTACGACCGAGGAGTAACCACTTGCAGGATGACGAGCTACCAACCACAAGGTAATGGTCAGGTTGAACGGCTGAAAAGAACCACATGGAAAAACATATCCCTGTGCCTCCGTTCAAATGATCTAGCGGTTGATCAATGGGATTTGGTGCTACCTGATGCATTCAATGCTATCGGATCATTACTTTGTACTACTATCAACGCGACGCCTCACGAATGTATATTTCTCCATAATCCAAAATCTGTGGTTGGCAACAGTCTGTTTCAGTGATTATTAGCGTCTGCTACATCGAAGAAACATCCGCTCGTCCAAGTATGACCCCATGATGGAGGAAGTTGTACTACTGAAGAGCAACCCCGAATATGCTCACATACGTCTCCCTAATGGACGACAAGAAACAGTATCTCTTCGTCATCTGGCTCCCGTAGAACGACCGATCTCGTCACCACCCACCAATTTTCAGAGCCTTGCACAAAATCCCATTCCCCACGTAATGACATGCTATGCACCTCAGATTCGCACACAGTTCTGTCCAATCCGGTGGAATTTCCTGGTGAACCAGAAACAAGTGTTGAATACCTTCTATCGAAACAACAAAGGGTGAGACCTTTTTGTCTTCGAAACCGTGAGATTTAGGAACGCATTCTCGACTAGTCAATGTGGCGTTTGTGCATCTCCTCAATTTCTTTGCAACCTTAGACCACTGAACTTCTCCATTTTGTTTTCGACTCCACTTTCAACTTTCCTTTCTTTCCCTATTCTTCATTCAAATGAGCAGCCAAAAGACAGCAACCAAACCCATCGCTCGAATATGCGTGGTTAATGGTTGTTCAAACTGAAACTAATGTAAACACTTGCCATTTTCAGTCCTCGGGACACCCAAAACAAACTTCATATTAATCGTCGTTCTCTGAAAGAAGTTGAATGTGGTAGTTCTATCATTGTCCTTTCTGTTGCATAGATTGCTGTTATTCTGGGTGCATATTCTAACATTTAGCTTGTCCCATTCTAGCTCTCATGCCTCTTTTTTGGTCGATTAAAGCCTATCATTAAAGCGTTGTCTTCTGGCTTGTCTGCCGACTAAACGTGTGACCTGTTACACCACAAGTTCTCACCAATCATGTAATCAATCTCGTTACACCCTAGCAATTCTTTTTTCATTACACACCCTTTGTGTGAACAACAGACGGGATCAACCCCATAGCCATGAGGACTTCCTGTTCATTCGTGAAAACCGGCAACTGAAGCCCCGAGTGGTGAACCACATAGAGCTCAACTAGGTTAGACTTGGTATTCGGCCAGACGACAGCGAAACTGCCTGCCACCAAAGTCAGGTGACAGTGACCGTGTCCGAAACTACGCCGGTGCCAGTGATTTAAACTACCTGACGATCACCAACCAGGAAACCACTGCTGTTCCATTCAGTGAAAAGTAATGAGTAGAAAAAGGGATGAAATCTACAGCCAAGTTGTGCTAACGTGCGGTCATGATAATGAACACCCGAAGCCCTGAGAAAAATTCCGAGAGGTCCAGGATAGCTGCCATGAAGTCAATTTTATCATACATATTAGTGCATCGAGCTGTAAATAAGAAAGATAATGCCGTTGATTTCTGATTCAGCTTCGGGAATTATCGACCTCAGTGCTGAATTCTGAACCAGAGAACCATATAAAGCACTCAGGATAGGTGTGTCACAGACCGGTCTATGATTAAGGAAGTATGGAAGGGGTAAGGTAAGATCATCAGGACAGAGGTGTACATGACGTGATCAGAACCGCTTTACCCTCATCATCACCACCATCACATTTGAGATTTCCTGGAAGAGCAGAGACACGTGTGCAAACTAAACAGCGAATACAAATACTAACTTTCAAAACCATTAACCTCTGTATTCGTTGGGAATGGTGGGGGTGGGTGACAG